ATCAAAATTTGCGGAAGCAAACAATTCAAGGTACAAAACTATTCATACTAATTTTTAGACTGAATTGGTTTGCAAAAATGTCAAATGTCTCTAAGCAATCTTTACCACCTCTGAAACTTTGAATTACTTCAAGTTGCTCCAATGACTGCATCGGCTTACATAATTTAAAGACTTTCTATGCAAGGTATGAAACTTTGAAGCGTTTCAAGTTGTTTCATAGTCTGAATTTTTTCGCAAAAAAACTGAAGCTTTAAACAAGCTATTCAAGCTCTGGATCGTTTCAAATTACTTTTTTGACCAAATCAGTTCGCAAAAACCAAAGTTTTTCAAAGCAAGCTACTTGGGCTATGATACGTTGAAACTTTTTAAGTCAACCACAAAGCACTAAGTTTTTCTAAACAAGTGTTCCAGCTCTGAAACTTTGAAATGTTTGAAGTTATTTCATTGACCGAATCAATTTACAAAAAAACTAAAATTGTTTTAAGCAAGCTATTCAAATTAGGATATTTTCAAACATTTCAATTTTTAATATACCCAATCGCTTCGGAAAAAGCTTAATTGTTTTAAGCAACCTATCCAATGTATAAAACTTTGAAATGAATCTATCCAATGAATCATTTTGCGAAAAGTTCAAGTTTTTTTGAGCATGAAATGAATCTATCCAATGAATCTTTTTGTGAAAAGTTTAAGTTTTTTTGAGCAAGCTATTCATGCGAGCAAACTCTGAAAAATGTTAAGTTTTTTAGAGAGCAAATCGACTGGCAAGAAAGTTTCAATTTTTCTAACAAGCCATTTAAGCGGTGAAACTTTCAATTTGTTCCATAAAGCAGATTAGTTTGCAAAAGCTAGTTTTTTTTTACAAAAGAGGTTTCTGTTGTATTAAGTTCGCTTCAGAATGAAATCAATCTAAAAAAAAATGGGAAAAAAAGTTTCCAGCCTTGAAATTGAATCAAGCTTATCTTGTCTTTTCTGAAAGGTTAAATCTCATAAATTTTTGAAACATTGCATCCGACAAATTTAAAAAATTGCGTTTAGTTACACGTTGCGTCCAAAGCGCATTCTGGCTGTCATTTAATATATATAATTTTCAAACAGTTTGGTCTCAAATCGCAAAAAAATTCTGATCAAAACCGAAAGTATTTCGTTGAAAAAAAAGACAACTAAGCACGAAGTAAATATGTGTCTTCAATTCGTTCATTTTCCCCTGGATAATGTAGAGATTTTACACCGTTTTAAAAAAAAATTGAAAAATTTAACTGAAAATTTGTTCTTTTTCTTGAAAACTGATTATATGCTTCAAACAGAATGCTTTTCGAGGGCCCAAATCAAAAATGTTAAGCATCAAAGGCCTAAATGGAGGATAGCCATTGTTCATAAAAAGAATATCTAAAGTTTTGTGGTCAAGAAAAACTTCCCTCAGTTTTAAAGCGAACTAAAGTCACTTGAATAGAGTCATTTTCTAAGTTCAAAGAGCTTCCTCTCTTACTACGCAATTTGAGGGTTTCAGCAGGGAGAAAAAAATTCCTACGTTGATACATATTTTCAAATTTTCCATATTGGGTGACAGTCAAGAAAACAAGAATGTATGGTGATATTTTTGTCATCCACTAACACAATAGTGGATCAACTACTAGCGTTAGCCAAATCAATGTGGAATGATGACTAATTTTTGAGGCTGGCACTATTTTAATTAAAAACCGGAATACTGCGGGCATTGCGTAGCCGACCCACGTTGATCAAATTGGCGTCTTAAAACACATTGCCAAACGAATTGTAAGTCAAACTTCGTACTGTTCTCAAAGAAACAATTGAAAATCGTCTGATAAAAACAAACCATTACCCAGGCAGATATCTATAGTCTTTAACTTTCTTCAGAAGTAGGAGCCGTAAAGTCAAGCTTGCTGTTCCGACTTTTTATACGAAAGTAACGAAATATTTGTGCTCGTGTGGGTTTTTTTCTTCAGATAAATGTCGACTTTTTAACTAGCCATTTTGAGAGGATTTTTTTAAATATCATTCGAAAGGTATTGTTGTCCTGAGCTCAAATTGGAACAGATATTTCACCTGTGATCATTTTTCGTACAGTTTTGGTGGTTTAAAGATTGCCATTTGGGCCAATTTGGGACAATTAACGCGCGGTATATTTCGCGCTAGTAACGCGTAAGCGGAGAGTTAATCCGCCTTAGAAATCATTTCAAATTATTTGGAAAAATCTTATTTGCCATAATTGATTTGTTACAAGGAGCGAAACCTATCTTTTTGTACTGTATATGGCGTGTAGGGTGATGATTTTCATAAAAAAATTCAAATTTTAGAAAAAAAATTTCATCTTGTTTTATTTCATTTAACTTTTTAATTTTATTACTGCTCCATAAACCTTAAAAAACAGTTGAAACATTCAGGGCTTCGCCCTGATACAAGCAGTTTTGTTGTTCCTTTTTTGAAACGAAAGTAACGAAATATTTGTGCTCGGGGTGGTTTTTTTTTCTTCAGACAAGTTTCGACTTTTTAACTAGCCATTTTTGACGGAATTTTTGTATATCATTCAAAAGCTATTATTGTCCTGAGCTCAAACTTGAAAAAATATTTCACCTGTGATCATTTTTCGTAAAGGTACGGGGGCTTAGAGATTGCCATTCTGGCCAATTTGGGACAATTAACGCGCGATATTTTTCGCGCTATTAACGCGTAAGCTGAGAGTTAATCCATCTTAGAAATCGTTCCAAATTGGTTGAAAGAAGCTTTTTTGCCATAATTCATTTGTTACAAGGAGCAAAACATATCATTTTGTGCTGCATATGGTGTGTGGGGGGATGATTTTCCAAAAAATTTTCAATTTTTAGAAAAAAAAATTTTCATCTTGTTTTATTTCATTTAACTTTTTAATTTTATCACTACACCATAAACCTTAAAAGGCAGTCGGAACATTCAGGGCTTTGCCCTGATACGAGCAGTCTTTTTTGTTTTGTAGATATAAACAGCGCCTTTTTTGTCTTGACTCTCTTCTCAAATTTCATAGAACACTATTGCTCGAACTTCAAAATCAGATTGTCGTATGAAAAACGAAATTGCATAGCCAGGGCAAAGTTATATATAATGTTGTTTTTGCGTTAATGCTTTTGCGTATTGGTTTCTTAATTTTTCATGAAGCATTTCTTGAAAAGTACTTAATAGTGATTTACTACGCGTGCATAATCTTCTCAGTAAATTTTTCCTTAAATTAAGTTTGCCATAACTCTTAATTTAAGAGCAGTTTGTAAAAAGAAACTAACCCGTTCCCCAATAAAAAAAATGTCGTCCCATCCATTTCGTCAGAAAACTTATACACTTAGAAGAATAAACTTTTGAACGTGTTTGTGAAGATTATGTGTTGAAATATTGGTTTTTTTTTTGGAAGAAAACCAATATTTCTTCTTGGGGAAACCCTTATGCACGAAGATCTGAACGCGCAAAAATTTACTAGCCATTCAGAATTTGGTATTTACAAACTCGAAACATATAAGCGATGAAATCTTTCAATTTAGGTTAGTTTAATTCAGGGGTGGCTTCAGTGGGGCGTGGGGGGGAGGGGGGGGGGGGGTGGGGGACGTTGCTCTTTAGAGATTTGAACCCCTCGCTAACCACAGATATCCATTTTGGCCAACCAACCCTAAAGTTTTTCCAAAGGCGCCTTTGGCGCCAATATATACTTATTTTGAAGGGGAGTGCTCGCCAAAAAAACGCATTTTTTGGTCAACATTTTTTTAAAAATTGCCCAAAACGGCATTTTGACCTGTTTTTTTTTTTTTCAAAAATTGGCCTGCGGCGCAAAACTTTAGGTCAAACAGGGCTTTATAGTGTTCTGTGACCGCTCGGAAAATCAAATTGGTCGGCTTAAAAAAAGGGTCAGCAAAATTTTGACAAAATTTTGAAAATTCGCCCCCTCTCGAGAAATTCCTAGATCACCGCCCCTGGTTTAATTGTGTTGATTAGTCAGGGGCGGATCTAGGATTTTCTCGAGGTGGGGGCGGATTTTCAAAAAAATTCGAAAATTTTGACGACCTTTTTTTTTTTAGGTCAACCAAATTGATTTTTCGAGCTCTCCCAAAGCACTGTTTTGCCCCTATTTTGGCTAAATTTTCTGCGCCGCAGGCAGTTTTTTTGTGAAAAACAGTCAAAAAAGCCGTTTTTGGGCATTTTTTGAAAAATTTTGACAAAAAAATCGCGTTTTTTTAGGCGCGCGCTCCCCTTCAAAGTTAGTATTTATTGGCGCCTTTAGAAAAATTTTAGGGTCGTTCGGCCAAAAGTGGATTTCTGAAAAAGTATCAAAGGGGGGAGCCTTTGGGTCAGCAGGAGGTCGAATCCCTGAGGGGGGAGGGGGCGTCCGCCCCCCTTAAATCCGCCCCTGTGATTGGTTGAGAATGTTTGCGCATTCAATCCTTTGCGCATAAGAATTTAGTCCAGCTATCAAAGCTTCTGTTGATTTTCCTGCGTCTCCAAGCAATCATTGCAAGTAGCGTTAATGAAAAGATCTACGTGAATGTCAAACGATCACACCAACGGCCACGGAACATCACGGTTTATTGCTGTTTGTTATGATGGCAAAGCATGGTTTTTGTCATAAATGTTTATTGCTATGATGCGTGTATTTGGTAATTAAAGAGGTTACGCTTGCCTCAATCCGCTACTCTCGAACACCGCACTGGCTCGTTGAAGAATATAGAAAAACAGATATCAGAGCAGCTAATATTTAGTCCAGCATTTTGAATGAAGTGAAATTCTCAAAATTTGATATAAAAATTGATTAAAAAGCAAAATGTTTGGGGGCTCAGTAGAGCGATATTTTCAAATTAGTCGGGAAAATTTGTCAAAAATTTTTTCAGCTAAGCAAAGTTTATCTGGAGAGTTAAAAATTGCACAACAGAGACTTAACAAATATTATACAATACGCCGTTTTATTCAAAACTTAAGAATCTTTAAACGCAACTTTTGAAAACACGTTTTAGTTTCAGTTACGGCGTTTTAATTGTATGGCAACCCAATTTATCGAATAAAATGAATAATTACAAGAAATTTTTTATTGTAATTTTGGTGCACTTAATCAGTATCCTGTGTCAAATATAAGTCGATACTAATATGCCCCGTGAAGTTTTAGTACCATCCAGACTTTCTCAGTTTCACTGGCACTGGTTCCAGGTGAAGTGCAGAGCTCAGAGTGATGAATTTCCTCTCGTCCATTAAATTTTGAGTCATTTCACGGACTCTGGAGTTGTATGACTTAGGGAGCTTGCTGTCTAATTTCTCTTCTGAATGTCCACAAGTGGGACATGATTGGCTTGAGTGTCCACTTCCAATCAGTGGCAAATGACTGCAGTCAACTATGGACTAAATATTAAAATTTTGATCTGTTTAATGTCAAGTTTTATAAAATTTTGGTTGAATAAAAAACAAAGAACCCTACTCACGAATGTTGAGAAACAGCAAGCAATTTAATATACAAAATCGCAGGGTTATTGCTATGTCCATATTTTATTTTCAGGCCCAATTTCAATTTTTTAAATAGATCTAGTGTTTATTTTTCAAAAACACGGAGCGGATCCTTCAACAATAAAAAGGTTTTTCTTAACACTTCAGTCTGGAAAATTTCAAAAATCCTTTGTGTGACTATGATTAGTGATTTTCATAGAAAAAACATACGGATATCGGATATGTCTGCTTGCGGTGATTTTCTATTTTGGGTCCCAATATAGAATATTATAACAAGCAGTCATATCCGCATTTGTTTGTTTAACGAAAATCATCTTCATAAGTTACGCATAATTTTTTTAAGCGCTTTTCCTGGCTGAACTATTGGTTATCCGTGTGTTTTATCTATTTTCTCAGTTTATAAGAATTTTGTCATTTTTTTGCCTAAACAAAGTTTAAGCCGTACTTTTTGCTGGTGAATCCATTTCGCATCATCGTCAGATATCTGAAACAGAGACCACATATGAGAGGTGATTTGCAAAAAGTTAACAAACATGCGAATCGGATTGCTTCGGATGCATTCAATGACCTCGATGTTCCAGTAGTTTTGGTCCAGCGGCCAATAGTTCCATACTGTATCAGCTGCCTCTGTTTCCCTACTGCTCTTAGGGTATTTGCTGAAATACAAAAGAATGCTTCAAATTACAAAAACTACAAGAGTGTTAAGTGAAGACGCTTTATCTACTAGGAAAAGAAACAAAGAGAATCGAAGAGAACCACTTTCGATTGAGACGAAGACTTCATACCTTCCTCACAACTTACCTAGCATTGCAAAAATTCTTTAAAAGAGTTGTTCTTTTCCACAATCAACTTTTGAAGGAGTTTTTCCAGGTTTAATTAGTGCATGTTTAACTGTTGGCTTAAGCTTTACGGGCAAGTATTAACCACAAAAGAGGTGCGATAATCAAGTCAAGTACAGTATAAAAAACTTCAGATTAGTAGCTGCCATAAAACACAGGAGATTTTTTTCTGTTTTGAACTTTAAGTGGGTAATTATGTGTTAAAATCATTGTTCCTGTGCGCTACTATTTCACCCGTGCAGTTTTTTGTGTTACTTCACCTTTTTTTGATTAACTGGTCCGACTCAAAATCAATCGGATGATGTTCGAAGAAACTTAACGCCTCCGAGTTGCGTTTGTCCTGCAACAATTTAAACTGAAGATTGAAAATTTTCTGAATTCCCTTTTTTAAAATTTTTTTTGCAATTTTGTTTTGCAAAATGAGAAAACAACCGACTGAAGCATTAAATTAAATGAAAAGCAAAAATTTATTTATATTTTTTCAGATATGAAAAACAACCTGTCGTGAGGCGACCTTCGGTACCTCGTTATCAACTTGTCCTTTTGCAGTCTTGCTGCAGATTTATGTTATTATCACTAACCAAGGTCATAGTTCTGGCCTATACTAAATACCACGCTGTGCGTGATCATTCTCTTTCTTTTCTACATCGCTTGTTAGATGGCCATTTATCTGTCTCATCTTCTATTTTATTCAGGATAAAGTTTTGACCTCAAAGGTTCAATTGAAAATAAGCATATATTTAATTCTTGCAACTAACTAATTCAACTAACATAACAATTTACTTTTCTTGCTAAACAACCAAGTTTTGACTCGACATCCTCGGCAAATGTCATGGCGCAGCCAGCAGTTCCTGTGAACGAAGACAGGACTGACTTGTTAGGCATTCCCCCCTTCTGGGCGAAAGCTTCCGTTAACCCGCCGTTCCTCTGGGAATCTTGGATCGGTCAATTATTTTTGGCAGTGGGTCTAAAAGACAACATCAACCCTCACCATCTTCTAGCCGAACCCGCAGAGGTCATCGATGAACCCCCTCCGAAAGCAGAGACAGTTGTCACTGGTGAAGATGCTGGAGAGGCTAAAGCACGAATCCTCCGAGATCAAGCGGCGATTCGAAGAGTAAATGAGCTAAATGTTGAGAGGAGGAGAAAAGATTCTAGAATCAGTCAAAACTAGTTCTACCACAAAACTGGGGCTCGCCTGAAGTCTCGGTTGTTCTTCTCATTGGGGAACGAAGGAATGAGACGCTTTGCAGACTCTTTTCCTCACACGGACATCAGCGTCATTCCCTTTCAAGAATTTCACAATAGCTGTGAAACGTTATTCAAGGTGGAACTGGACTATACGGTTGAACGTATCGAGCTCTATAACACAGTATTTATGCTTGAGAACGATACTTTCTCGTCATTTTACGCTCGTCTTAGTGCCTAAGTTGCCCTGTGTAATTGGCCAAAAGTTCAAGAAATGGAAACGTTAAAAGACCTCTTCATTGGACGGATTCGTGACGTAGATGTTCAATAATAACTTATTAAAGCTAAAAACAGATTTAGACAACACCCTTAAATTTGCACTAGAGTGTGAAAAAGGTGCTAGCACATCTGAACAATTCCAAAAACTATTTCCTCACAATCAGCATTCCAACGCTATTAAGGTTAAACAGGAACCCACTTTCTCGATTCAGTCGTCTAGAGGAAAACGGAACTATCCTCAAAATCAAAACAATCGACAAAACACACAAAGCAATCAAGAGAACAAGTCTTGTTATTTCTGCGGTAACCCTTTTAGTCCGGATCATCGAAAATCTTGTCCAGCTTGGGAAGTTACGTGTAACCTCTGCAGAAAACGTGGTCATTTTGCAAACTGCTGTAATTCGTCAAAACGAAGAGTAAACCCGGTTCACGAGAATGAGGAAGCTTCAAGTCCCTCTAAAGATTGCAATTTCATAGATGCTGAGCACGACAGTGAACCAGAATATGAGGTTTTACAACTGTAAAGCGCAGTCACGATCAACAGTATTGAAGTCCTCAAATCGAGCGGAGGAAAATCCAGGAGCCTCAGCATTCAATTGCGTTCAGGTTATAGTTTCTTTTATTCGACCGTTCACACAGGAAGCCCAGTTTCGTTCTTCAATAAACGTACATGTGACTTACTTTTACAACGTAACCCGTCAATCGAATTTCGGGACATCACACGATACCCTATCGATACATTGTACGTAAGTTACAACAAACAACCCATTCTTCTCCTCGGTTCGATTCAAATCCCGATTTCTTCTAGTGGCTGGAAAGGGGATAAAGCTCAGTTCCTCATTTCGGAAAACAGTAATCATCTAGGCCTGGATCTGCAGGAGCAACTAGGTGTAGTTACAACACAGTTGCAGGCCGAATCTCTTCACCTGCTGGAGAATATTTTCCAGGATCCGATATCAGAATAATGGAGTTCTTTCTTTGCGCAAAAATACGCCCACGTTTTCAGTCGTCTAGGCAGATCTTAGCATCATAAATTTTATACTAACTTTAGATTCCCTCTGGTGCCCCGTCAATTTAAAGGACGTAAATTTCCAATCCATATTCAGGATAGAGTTGCGAGCGAAATAAAACTACTAATGGAGCAAGATCATATCGAAAAATTGGAAAAATGTACGGCAGACTTTTTCATAGCGCCCATCGTAATAACTGCAAAAAAGGATGGCTCAATCAAACTAGCCTTGAACGCTAAGCCGATGAACGCTCAGATCTGGAAAAACCAGTACCAGATGCTGAACATTCACGAACTCATCGATTCAGCGGCGCAGATTATAACTAAAAACGAACCTGGAAAGGTTTGGTTCACATCCTTGGATCTGAAGTATGCTTTCAGTCAGTTGCCATTGTAATCGCTAAGTAGTAGTCATTGTAACTTCAATATTTTGTGTGGGGATGCTAAGGGGGCGTACAGATTAAAAACCGGGTTTTATGGTTTAACCGATGAGCCTACCGAGCTCCAGAAGGCAATGGACTGTACCCTACAAGGACTGGAGGGTGTCATTTTCTACCTAGATGACATTCTGATAGTTACAAGAGGAGACATTCACGAACATAACGAACTAGTTGAGAAGGTGATGCAAAGACTTGATGCGGAAGGCTGGGCTCTAAAACTGAGTAAGTGCGAATTCTCTGTTAACCAACTAACTTTGTTAGGGTCTGACATCAATGAGGACGGCTACTCTCCTAAAGACACGGCTACTCTCCTAAAACAGCTACGTTCGTTTATGAGGACCTTAAATCACTTACAGGGGTTTATACTCGATTTGCATACCCACACAGTTCATTTTCAGCAATCTTTAAAAGCGTGTAACAAACAATCGTTTCTGTGGGGAGAGGAGCAAGATAACGCCTTCAAAAGTATAGTCAATATGATCGCCAAAATCCCTAGCCTCCATCATTACGATTCTTCAAAAAGCTCAAGGGTAAAATGTGACGCTAGCCATAACGGCTTAGGAGCTTGCCTCGGACAAGAAATCGAACCGGGAGTTTCGGCCCCAACTGCTTTTGCTTCACGTTTTCTTAAGAATGCGGAGGCAAAGTATAGTACCAACAAATTGGAACTGTTGGCAATTGTTTGGGCCTGCGGACATTTTTGTACCTATCTGTTGGGTACTCGTTTTCAAGTGCTGACGGATCATGAAGCCATCATTTCGGCATTGAATGAAAATTATAATAATAAGGTTTTTTATGTTCCTGGGGTCGCTTTGGGGATAGTTGATTACTTATTTCGTTATTTTACGTTTTCAGCTCCCGAACCCTCAAAATACGATGAACTTTTCGTCGTTAAATCCATTGAGGCTTTTAATCAAGCCCTAACTTTCAATAATTTTTATAATTCCACTGTATTGAGGAATAAATGTTGTCCGCCATCGCAAGAGGGTGTTAAAATTTCATCGTAGCATCATATTGCACATTCATCTCAACATTCTCCGGTAGGGGGCGACAAAAAATTTGCTCAAATTTCTAACCAATCAAATCGCGTTATGCTAATAAGCTGTTTGAACTCCTCGCCAATAGAGGGCGTCGGTTTATGCTCAAAAGATATTAACCAATCAGAAACCGGTATGCAAACTGAAAATCGTAGACCAGTCTCCCTCACTGAAAATCAATGTCTCCGACCTGAATCTTTACGAAACAGTCATCAAATTAACAAATATTCAAAAGTCTTAAATCAAAATCCTAATGTTATGAATCTACCGCCTGATACTAATCAAACTCGTACCAATACTGACGTAAATTCTACTCTAACTCATATCGACTCCCAGACTTTATTGAAGTCGACAGCCGAACAAGCTAATTTTCTCACGTTCAAGGAAACCTTTCCAATTAATTCGCTGAACTTCCGTCGACCAAGCCCGGGTCGTCCAATCAGATTTCGACAGCTGGGTCGAATCTCCAGACTAGATCAAATACGTCAGCGCAATCGAACCCGAGAACGAGCTGCCAAAACCCGTTTTGTTGCTGCAAGGACCACTTCACGAAAGGATGGACACACACAGTTGCTGCAGGCCATGAGACGGTGTTGTCGGTTGAAACCCGGGAAGACCAACACTGCCGCAAGGATCGGAGTTCTTGCTGTTAACGGCGTCAAACCTCTTCTTTAGAAGAAAGAAGTTGGGGCTGCCTGGCCTTTTTGACGCGGATCTTTTGGCAGAGCTTACGGAGGAGGATCGCTTTCTGGGCCCAATGAAAGAGCTATCATCAACAAGGACATCACATCATTCAATAAGCTTGGATCATACATGGCCTAATTCTGGACCAAAGCAGCCGTAGTCAAGAACTGTGTAATTATTGCTAACAAACTGGCGATGCTCGAACCTCTCCGACAAGCTGTACTTACCCGCCTTCACCGCTCCCACCCGGGACAAGTGGCCATGATGGCGGCCTCCGAATATATCTGGTGGCCATTTCTGAATCGACAAATTGTCGAAACCAAAAAGAAGTGCCGTGAATGCGCCTTGTTTGGTAAGAATCTTAAGCCCGCTAAGAACTTTAATACTGCACAAACTTTACCTAGTCTGTCTGGGCCAAATCAAGAGCTACAATAAGATTTTGCTGGTCCTATACTAAATGATAAGGGTTCTAAGATTTTCCTTTTTGTAGTACTCGATCGTTTTTCTAAAATTTCCTTCAGTTCTTATTTCAAAAACTACTGGGGCCAAGAAGGAATTTTTCGCATCTTACATTCGCATTCATAGTATACCTCAATCTATCAGGAAAAATCACGGTTCAGGTTTTAAAAATGAATTAGTACAACAATTTTGCTCTAGCAGAGGTATTGAACACATTCTCTCGCCAGTGCGAGACCATAGAGGCAGTGGTTTAGTCGAGCGTTCGATTCAGACTATAAAGCGAAAACTGGGTACTGCAAAACTTGATCCTAATTTCAAAAAATTTTAAGGAAACGATTCAACAAATAATCGAAGATGTCCGCGAGAGAAATCACTCGGTGCTGAAGAAATCGTCTTTTGAATTACATTACCGATCACACTTATGTAACTGACCATGGGAACGTTTATCGAAAAAATCATATTTGCCTCAAACCTAATTTTCGGTATAACATTTCAGTTGGCCAGAACACTCTAGGTGATCGTCTTCAAGCCTCAAATCCTACCTCCCATGGTGCATTTAAGAGGTCAGCTATGCGCTCTCAACCCGTGTTGCTGGAACAACGACCAGTAAACCCTAGCTTATCTACTCCGATGGTGGTATCTACGGCGGACTCATCGAGTGAGATTTCGACTGGTTCAAATGGCGGCCTATATGTGGTTAGGGGATCTACTCCAGTGGAGAAAAGACAAAAACTAAGGCACGACTCACCGGCGGTTACGTTTGCCAATAAGCCCAAACCCGCATCTCAGCAGCACAACACGAACAATGCTACCCTCTCGCCGCCTACCGTCTCTACCGCTCAGCTTACTGGCTCAACAGATTTGTCTCAGCAGCAGAGCAGCAGAACACGTATTGTGAAACTTCCTCACCTGCTACCACTTCTACCGCCAAGCGCACTGGTCTCAGTCCAGCAGATTCTCGGACTACACCCTTTTCTTTGGAAATTTTATCTCCGAAGGGTATTGTTCAACCATCTCAATCCGCGTCCTCAGATCCGCACTCATCTTATCCGTCCCTATCCCTCCCCGCTCAACCAGTGATAGATGACTCAGAGACAGTTAGGACCTCACTACGTATTAAGAAACCGACGAAATTCTTTGGTGATCCCTTACGTCACTCAGTTAAACTGATTGATGAGGTTCAAGACTTGTCCTCAGAAAGTGCGCCCGGATCTTCGTCATCGCCACGGAAAATCCTCATCCGTGAGAGGCCTCAAGTTGGCTCCAAGGAGATGTCCTCTACCTACTTCGCTAGAGTCAATGAAACTCCTGAGAAAGATTGACTAGTCTGCAAATATCAAACTCGGCTAAACTCGCTAAAACTTTTTCTCATATACATCTTGTTCTTATGCTTTACTGCCAAGCATTTGTGTGGGATAGGGGGGCTATCAATCTTATGCTCATCTGGGTGCAGTTATCTTATCTTCCTATAAGTTTTGGGCTATCTACCAAAACAATTTCTCCCGCGGGGAATGTCGTGAGGCGACCTTCGGTACCTCGTTATCAAATTGTACTTTTGCAGTCTTGCTGCAGATTTATGTTATTATCACTAACCAAGGTTTTAGTTCTGGCCTATACTAAAAACCACGCCGTGCGTGATCATTCTCTTTGTTTTCTACATCGCTTGTATCTGCATCTGTCTCATCTTCTGTATTATTCAGAATAAAGTTTTGACCTCAAAGGTTAAATTGAAACTAAGCATATATTTAATTCTTGCAACTAACTAATTCAACTAACTTAACAATTCACTTCTTGCTAAACAACTAAGTTTTGACTCGATATCCTCGGCAAATGTCACAACCAGCAAAAAAAAGATTAAACTATGCTGAACTATATTCTATAGTTCAGCGTTTTATAGAACTTTGATACAATAAATCAAGGTTTCATACCATGGACGCAAACTTCAGAGGCTTATTCTGATCTCGAAGTATCTGTTTTTGCTCCTTCAGGTCCAGCTTGACTTTTTCAAGTTCTCTGCTGAGTCTCGTTTTCTCAACTGTCAATTCGTCCACTTTTTCGCTCTCCTCGTGCAGAAGTCGCAGAATGTTCTAGAAAAAATTATCGTTTGATAGAAAGCAATGATGCAAAACTAGGTAAAAATTTCGCAACTTCTTTTTTGAGCCTATTTTTTGAGTTTCACTTGCTTTTGAGACCAGAAGACAGTTAAAGCTAACATGAGCTCTTTCCAGGAAAGTTTCGTAACAAATAACTAATTATTAATTTCAGTTGATTCATTTGCTCAATTTGCTATCAATTATTTGACAAAACAATACATTTCCAATTTTATTTTAAAATTACATAGAATGAAACAGACTTGTGCTGAGACAAATGGAAAGATTTTCCCGAAAAACTTTAGAATGATAAATTTTCAAAATCTTGGAAAAACTAACCAAAAGTGTAATGCAATACCCGTACTCAGTAAAACGAGAAAAAATTCGATTATATATACAATAGTACTTTCATCAAATTTATATTTTTTTATAAGTGCCAAATTTAGATGCTTAAACGATTTATAATCCATTAAATTGATCACGATTTTCGTGACATATTACAATAAATTCTAACCAATTATAATTTATTGTAATTTTTCTGAAAATCTCTTATAATCTCTTATAATCTCTTATAATCTATTATCATAGAAAATAATATTTTTTGTGTCAAAATATGAGATGTTTTGCCACTTTTTGCTTCATCTGGACATAAAATTTTACCACGAAACAAAATTTTCATAGAGATCCCTTCATATTAATTGAAAGAATCCTGCGGTAGGTGAAATATATCTCTTCTATACAAATTATGAAACTAAAGCAGTGGGATAATGTTTTGTTGGTCAAAAAACTAAAAATGCACATCATGAAACAGTTATAATTAAGAAGGAATGAAAAAAAAGTTATAAGTTGAATTGATTGAAAAACTGTTGAAGCAATTTTCATGTTTTTCACATAAACCAACGTCTATTAAAAGCATAAAATATCACAAATTCATCTGCAAGGTCGAAATGGGCAAAAAGGGCAAATAAAAAGGATTATAAACAATTATAGTCGATTATAATGGATTTTCTGCGAATTAGAAATTCTGATAAAAATAATTGATGTAATATTTGGTGGAAAATGACCAAAAAAAACAAAAATTATAAATAAAAAAATGAAAAATTTTTTCTAAGACTTAGGAAATTTTTGATTCGCTTTTGAAGTTCTTTTTGTTAAAATTTCGCGAAAACTAAAATTACCAAAGTAAAACTAGGTTTTCATGGTTTAAGTTAAGCATAAATATGCTGTTTTAAGCTTGCTGACTAGTTTTATCCGCTCGAAACTAGACTAAAAATCTATAACTTTAAACCTGTTTTTCTTAATATTGTTACAATTTTTAAAAATAATAATGATGGCGCTTGAATCACGTCTAAGAGTTCTTCAATTTGAAATAACATTTTACCCATTCCGCCGATTATTTATTGTACCTGATTTTGCATGCCACTAAAGCACACGACTACAGAATTCCTCAGCATTTTCAAGTTACTCTGACCCCAATTGTGATAATGGAAAGAAGTGAAGAAGCGAAGGAAGTGAAATACGAATCTGTTGGTGGAAGACGTGTTTCTAGTAAGCAGTTGTTTATCATAAAAATTAAAAACAAATGTAACTGGTTACAATACACCTACTGCTATTACAAACGAAGCTACCATTACCTATATTCCAGTATCTTCAAAGCTTTTTGAGTTTTTAGAAAAGATTTTTCTCAAAAAAATTATTTACATCGAAGTGCTTTTCCATCTCCTGAAATTGTTTGTAATTTTCTATTGTTCGTTCATAGCAATCCTCGTTTTTTCATATATTTTTTTTCCATTAGTGGACATCAATTTTTCTTTTTGCATTCATTGTTTTCAGTTTGAAAAAAAATGTTAGAACAAAAAATTTTGACCTTCTTTTCGTAGAATACCTTCAAAAATATAGTTCTAAGCATTTTTTCGAAAAGAACATACGGTTCTTTAAAAGTTCAGGCCCTCAGCAAAGTCCCACAGCAATTTCGCTCAACACCGAGTTTGATCAAAGTTGATTTTTTTCTCACATTTGTGATATCTTTGGACTCTTTTTGACTCTACTTCAAATCAAATTTCCCCTCGCTAAAAGTTTTCTTGAAACTCCTAAGTCTTTGAAACATTTCCATCAGATCATTTCGAAAAACTTCTATCAGATCTTGAATTTAGAAGAAAATTATTCTGCAAACTGGATTCAAACAAGCTGGAGTTTCACAAAAAAACAGAAACAAAGAAGTTTACAATATGTAACACAAGCTTCTCAGAGTAAAGACCATCAGAAATATAAATACGTCAGATATAGCAGAATATTTACCAACCAATTTTGTGTATGGAAAGATCCTAAGGATGGTTTCAGGATAAACCATCTGTTAAGAAGTGGTGTCCTTTTTGCCGAAATACGGAAGCAAAATCGTTGATCGCAGAAATTACCAAAAAAAACATAAGCTAAAAAATCTATCAATAAGAAAAAACCTAATGCTTAAAACGAGACTAAACTTAACAAAATTGAGAAACAGATAGCAACAACAAATTAGGGAACCCATTTACGGGTCTAGGACAACAAGTTGACGGGACTTCAAGGAAAAAGAACTTCAGGTCAAAATTTACACTTTACAGGCACCTCAAGCACTATTTTTCATCTATAAAATAAAAATTTTCAAAAATTTAAGCAATTTTAGTCCATAATAAGCGTAATTCAAGACAATGCACCCCAATTTACGTCAGACGGATTTTGAAATGAAAAAAAAAATATGAATATGAAAAACACCTTCAACAATGTTTTAATTTTTAATTTTAATAAACATCAATTGGAGGATTAATTTTAATGAAAAAGCCAAAAACTGGCAAAGAAAGATTATTGAATTGAGAAATTTTTCAAAACAATGTCCAAATTAATCATTTTTCATGAGTTTCTGAGAAAATGTCCAGCTTGATGTCCATAATTTTTACGATTCGGCTTCATGTCCCATCAGCTTGATGTCCGGAACCCCCTTTAACAACTTGGTTACCGTGATGGAATCAATGCGATACCTCAACAAAAAAGAAACTTACAATTTACTTGAATAAAAAACGTTAACTGCTATAAGGATTACAAAATCCGACCACAATCGAAAAACAGATGCCATCCGATCATCCGATTTTAATCCTAAGACAAACAAAACGCATATTCAAGAAAGAGTTACAAAGGTTTTTGTTACTAACAACAAATACAACGAGGGGCTAGCTATGACAACAAGCCGACGAGACTTCAAGCCGAAATTTAAACTTTTGAAACGCCTAAAAAACGCTAAATTTGACCAGTAAAATGTTGGTTTTCAAAATTTTTGGCAAGTTCAGTTAATAATAAGCGCTCTTAATAACAATCCATCACTTAAGATTAGCTCTAAACATAGTTAGGTTGGTCGGATTTTGAGATGCATAACCTATACACATCGAAAACCCCTTAAACAAAGTTCCTTAGAAAAATGACTAACAAAAAAATTTAAAAAGAAGATTTTTAATTTCAAAGAAGGCGCTAAAAAAACCGTGAAAACTTATTTCAAAAGATTTTTTTTCGGGGCTTGAGTAAAAATTCGTCGTTTAATTACTACTGATCTGTGACTATCATTCAATTAAAAGCCTGATTGTTTGTTTTGTTTGCTGGAAATTATAAGAAAAATCCAAAGTTTCAAACCAATTTTTCTAGATACTCGGAAAAAAAAACTTTTGTCGTTCGAATTACAACTGAAAGGGCTTTTTTATGATATATCACTCAAGCTAGTCTGATGATTATTAGTGGTTCCTTGATTTTGCGTGGAAAAAAACTTTAATTTTCAATTGTTGGCACAAAAACGATACATATAGAGATGCACCACATAGGAACAATTTTACCAAAAAATTTTTTTCCGAACTAAGACAATATTTACCAAAATCCCCTAACTTCATTTGTCTATATTCACACAGTAACTGTAAAAATCAGAAAAACAAACAAACAATCACCAAGGAGAAAAATTGGGACAACCTTCAATAGTAAGTTTGTCCAAACTTCAACCCCTCATATCAGAAAATCCAATAGATAAGATAAATGAATTTCAACCGACAGATTCAAAAACAATTTCTAATCGTTTCAGCTTTAAAAAAATTTTAAATAATTTTTATGGTTGCAATGTGAACTGATTTTTAAACTCTATTACAACCCTTCACATCACAATTAGCAAATGCATGAGTTTCGAAATCACATAATTTGGAAAAGATTACAAACTACACTTTTTGCAAACTAAAACTATCAAAAACAATGTATTTTTGAGTTAGCGGTTCTCAGAAAAATTTCACATCAAAAATGTATCATTTAAGGTTACTCTTGGAAGATTTGACTGCAGCATTTTTGGCTTTTGTTTCATTTAGTTTTAAGTTCTACCTTGATTAAAAAACAATCAATTTTTGCTTAATTTTCGATAACCCGGTGAAAGTACGGCGAATACTTTTTAATACTTTTTAACAATCAATTTTTGTTTAATTTTCGAAAACCCGCTGAAAGTATGGAGAATACTTTTTAATACTATATTGATGCAAATTTTTGTCAAAACAAAATCAACTTGATTTCTTTGCTCAAAACTTTGTTTCAAATTTTTGCTTCTCAAGAAGCAGTGATCGAATGATATCTTGTTACATATTACAGATAATTTAACCGAAATTTTGTTAGATAGCCCGAATTGTCGTTCGTTTTGAATAATTTCGTTGCGACTGCAGTCTATGTCTCTCAGAAGACTATTAAAGTTGCAATTCTTTACTAACCACGTGTCTCTTCTGAAGCGACTCATGACTGTCTTTCTCGTTTTTCATCTGTCTCTCCAGTTGTTCACACTCACTACTCTGACCTCTCTTCGCCTCTTCCACTTCTTTTCTGCTTTTCTCCAAATCAAAGCTGAGCGTCACGTTCTCCTTGCTAGAAAACGCAAAAACCTTGGTTGTTCAGATTTTTATCTAAACTTTTGACACCTAATTTTTTTCAAAATGAAGACTGTTGCTGCTAAAGCATTCATTTTGTATAATTTCGATAAACTGTTTTTTGATTTTTTGAAAATCAAGACGAAAGTGCGAAAGTGTTTTTATTAGCGTTTTTTATGAATCGCCTGGTTAAGAATCTAGGAGTTGTCTGAGCGATGCGCGGAGCTTTTTAAATCTTTTATTTAACCATTTTTTGGATTTTTTGGTCAACCACATCCATTTGACAAAACGCGTTGTAAATTTATTTTTCGGCGAGGTCTGTGCCAGAGCCATTTTAAATGCCAAAAACAACGTTTACAGGTTCTTTTCGGAAGTATTTGACTGAAAAATTGTATTTTGGTGCGTGCGCATCTCACGCATCTCATTATTTTAATGAACATAGGAAATAAATGTTTTCAGAAAAGATAAACTAAGAAAATGGGGCAAAAATTTCCAATCACATACCCGATTTCTTTGACCTTTGCATTGTACTCAGCCATTTTTTCGATCTCCCCCTTCTCCATCTCTCGAACCTTTTCACTCAAAAACTCCCCCCGATGCTGCAACTTTTTAATATTTTCCCGACACTCATCAACCTCAATTTGCAGATCAGTTTGACTTTTTGTCAAATCTTTTTTGGCATCTTCTAAATATTTAATCTTTTCGTCTTTTTCGACCTCAATTATGATTTTATCTTTGATGATTTCTTCCAGTTTCTCTACGTTTTTGTCTTTTTCATCGGCTTCTTTGACTAAATCTTTCGCTTTCGATTCCAGAAGACTTTTTTGTAGACTAATTCGATCTATTTCTTTGTCAATCAAATCAAAAACAGCAACTTTTTCCTCGAAAGTTTGCAGCGCTATTTCTTCGTCTTTCACTTCGATGTCATTCCGAACCAAGATTTGAACTTTGACCTCTTGTAGTTTTCTGGTTATTGTTCCCATTTCAGAGTGAATGACCGATTTTCTAGTTATGAACTGATTCAGTTCGTTTATTTTGCATCTCAAGTCTTCGTTTTTATTCAGAATTTCTCTCTTCGACTGAGAAATTTGATTTTCCAGTTTCTGAATTTGCAACTCGAGTGATTGTATGTGGTCATTTTTCGAGTCTATTAGATTTTCTAAGTCTCTCCGTGCTTGTTTTGAGACGTTTAGATCGTTTCGGAGTCTGGCGTTTTCGGCTAGGCACATGGTATTTTGGTCTTTCAATAGTCTAGATCGATTGGTCGCTTCAGCTCGTGTTGATTCGTCTACAAACATAATTGCTAAGATAATCTGATTTTTGTACAAGTTTGTAACTTTGGAGTATTCGCTTAAACTGATGAGATTTTTTCGAAAAATCATTCTCTTAGAGAAAAGAAACCCCGGGGAAAAGGTTTTTTTTTCAATTCGAAAACAATACAAAGAAATGTTTCTCACTTTTTTCCTGTAAACTCTCCATTTCCGAGCATCTTTGCTCTAACTCAATTTTCGCCATTTTCAGTGCCATATTTTCTTTCTCCAGTTGCTTCAAACTTTTCCTTGCTTCTTCCAGATTTCCTTCCAGTTTTGATAGTTCTTGGTCTTTGGCTGTTGTTTCCTGATGAAATTTTGCCAGGTTGCTTTTATTGCAGTCGTTTTGGTCTGATTGTTGCTCCAACGCTTCTTCTGTTCTGCGGAGTTTCTCTTCTAGACAAATTCAGGATGCTCGAAGTTGAGAAATATATTCCAACTTGAAATTGTATAAGTTAAACTTATTGTGCAGGTTTTTGTGACAAAAAAAACTTTCAAGCTCAATTTAGACCCCTAAAAGAGTTGATTTTACTGCTCAATTAAAATTGCATCACCGTACAGGACGAAAAAAATCTTCTACCAAAGGGTCTTCTACAACGGTTTTCCAAAAATCCTATTAATTTTTTCAGACTTGAGTGAAGCGACGCAGGCTGAAATATATTATTTAATAAACACTCTAAAATTTGCAACTGTACCTGTAATTTGCAATAATTTAAACAACCACCGACCATACTCTAAATCTGAGACAACTTTAGAAAATTCATGGTATGTCCAGCAAATTTAAAATTCGAACCTTTTTTGCACGGATACCTTCGAGGAAAATGGAAAAATTTTTGCGCTAGGAGGAAGCATTGTCTAAAAATGGAACCGCTATAACCGCTATAAATATATCAGCAAATTTAGTTGAAACTAAATATATCACTTTGAATCATTTTTCATAAATCGTGTAGTTTTTGAAAAATTTTCAATTCTCAATTTCCAGGAAAGCGTTTTTTTGCAGTCTATATCTTTTGATCATCACTATCCAACATATCAGCGCAAACTATTGAAGTCCGGCGAAGCAATCCAAACTCAAAATAGTGCCGACGATTCCTTACCGAGATCAGGTTATTGATTTTTTTTTCAAAAAAACTTGATGTTGTTTTTTGGGGGGCATAAATACAAAAAATACATTGTTTTTTCACTCTGACAAAATTTTTTGACTCTTTTTTAAAATAAATAGAGATCAATCAAAAATGCAAATTTTCTGTGATGGCATATATCCAATTTTGTTTTTCTTCTGACAAAGTTTAGAAACTGGAACTGCTAAAAAATGGAACTGCTTTTTTGGGTGCATAAATAAAAAAACATTGTTTGTTCATTATCACAAATTTTTTTGACTTTTTTTAAAACAAATAGAGATCAATCAAAATGCAAACTTTCTGTGATGCCATAAATATATTTTTATTTTTCTTCGGATAAAGTTTCGGTTTTTTAAAAAACAGATTTTTTAAGAGAAACTTCGACTCAATGTTCCGAGGAGCTTTGGTAATTGGGGAGGCGTTTTCTCTGTGGGCGGTTGATATATGACTTAAAAAACCGTTTTAGTCGTAATCAGAACAACATTTTTGAGTTTCCCTCAAAAAAATTCTTCATGTCAAAAAAAAACTGGTTTGAAACTTATAGTTTTTAGTGTTTTGCATGAAACAAATTAAAGGATCACAACAATTTTTTTTGTTTTTTTTTGTTTGCTTATTTGCTTGAAGAAAACTTGTCGAATACGCTTTCTCTACTAAAACTATCAATTATACCTAACATCTAGACTTACATTCAGCTCATCTTATCAGACCACGAACGAAAACAACAAAATTTGAAAAAAAGGAAACAGTAATTATTGAAGTTTCTATTATGTTTTGGTCGGAGCTTCCTGTTCCTATGTGCACAGCAACCGGATAAATTTTGTAGTTCTGAACATTGAAAATTTTGAATTTGGGTGTGCTTTAGTTTTTTCTTCATTTTTTTGTTCGGCTCGCAAAATCACATGCCACAAATAATAATCAGAATGGGACAACTGCATTAAAGTATTCAAACCGTTTTAGCCGTGATTCGAATGACGTTTTTAAAGTTTCAAAATCACTGCCCCAGTTTCAAGAAAAATCGCAATGAAGTTTTTGTAATTGTAGTCTTATTTCGGGCAAGTCTAATTTTGAACGTTTGTTATGAGAAAATTGATCATTAATGAGAAAAAAATGATTTTTTTAAACATAATTAATTTGGAAACTTTATTTAGCGCTTCCTTGGCAAAAAATTATCTAAAATTTTTTAAACCACTGTGCAAAAATTTGAAAAATAATATTCCTTTCAGGAGACCACTGCTGTCAGTTATACCTAGTTTAAACTTTTCTACGCACAAGAAACGTTGCTAATTTGAATAATACAAAAGGAAACTACCTTTTTGTAGTTTTTATGAATGTGGTCGGAAGACTCTGTGCTAGCTGCACAGCAACCGGCTATCCTTGTTATTAATTTGTCTTCAGACATCTGAACACTATTGATATTCTGCATGCAGTATAATAGAAAATTTTCGCCTGCGTTAAATTTTAACGTACTAGGGTATTAACTCAGAAAGTTGTCAAACTGAATTAAGACACCTAATGGATCCAAATAATGCGTCGTTGCTCAACGTAAAATATATCAGTTTGTGATTGACATTAGACTTACGGAAGGAGGGAACGTTTTTAAAATTCATACTTCGTTTGAAAGCTGACGCCAGATTCACGTAATTTTTCAACAAAAACTACCTAAGACAGGTTGAATAGCAGTAGGATCTATCAAGGTTCCCTTCTGATACCAGCAGCCGGCTCTTTTGTTTAATGTAGTTTTTTGTTTATGCGCCCTATTGGGTCAAAGGAAAGATGATTGAACTCTTACCTAAATCCTTTATCCTGACCATTAGCTGGTTCGATTTCACAGCTTTCTCCTTTTGCTCATTTTCAAGTTTTAATTGAAGCTCTTTCTTGTCCTCAATTAGCGTGTTTTTCTCCTCATCTGAAAAAGTCATCAAAATTAAATTTTTTGGCAAATCTTGGTTAAAATCATTGAATTTGAATTCTTTGTACCAAATAATGTTTTCTTTTGCTGCAGTTTTGATTCCATTGAGTTCCTCTGAAATGTCAAAGACTGATTTGCAGATTTGCACTCGTCCAATTTAACCGACAGATCACCTATTTCGAAGACGTGCTTCTGAATCTGCTGCTTTTGAGCTTGAACGTTCTGCATTTGATCTGCTTGATTGGCGCCTTGAAACATTAAAAACGCACGTAGAAATGCGACATCCAGGTGGTTTTGGTTTCAGAAATTACCTGAGTCTGCAATTTTTTTGACCACGAAGAAAGAAAAAATTGGGTATTTGGGTGTTTTAGAACCTTTTTTTCCCCACGCAAAGTCAAATATCACAAATTATCGTCACTAGATTAACTGATGTATCATGTTATAGTCTTTTCAGTAATACTTCGATCGCTATTTGAAAAATTCAGAACTGAAAACCGAAAACGGTTCATTTTTTTGTTTTCAAATGAGTTTCTACCACACGCATAAATGACTGTGGTCCTAATTTCTTGCGCTACTTGCACAGAAACCGGCTGTTTTAGTGCAAATGCTGTACCAGTAACTTCCTTTATGCCGCCGCATCTATCAAAAATCAACCCAAACAAAAACCATAGACTCTGAAATCGAGCGATTTAAGGTTAAGCGCTTTTACTTGAGCGCTCTTTCTTAGAATTGATTTGTCACTAAATAGTGTAACTTATGTTCTTTTTTGTTGAAAATGGTCTCAGCGTCTCATTAAGAGAACTCACTCATGTTGACCAGTTCAGATTCTCTGTGTCTTAATTTGGCCTCCAGCTTCTCGATAGTGATGCTCTGATCTCTCACTATGCACTTGTACTCTTCAATCGTGCGACCCACTTCCTCGAAGTTCTGGATGATAGCTCGTTTCTCACTCTTCGGTTTCAGCCGAGACACTGAAAGGACTGGATTCGTGCTGAAGTTGCTGAAAGATTTTCAATATAACTATGACCACGATCTTTTAATCAGTCTCCTCTGAAATAGTCCGCCAAGTTTTTCCTGTACATATTGAGATCCGGTCGAAAGAGTAACAAAACTGATTTTTTTTGAGGTCCTTAATGTTAATTCTCAATATAAATGTGCATTATAAAAATTATGGGGGTTTAAAGATGGCTAATTGGGTTTTTTTTGGGACAATAAACCACGCGCGATATATTTTTTTAGCTATTAAATGCGTAAATGGATGTTTAATATGTCTAATAAATTGTTACAAATTGAATTGAGGCATGGTAATTGATCATCCCCCCACACGTCATATTAAGTACAAAGTGATAGATTTTGCGCCTAATAACCAATCAATTATGCCATAAAAGCATCATTCAACCAATTTGGAACGATTTCAAACACGGATTAAATCTCCGCTTACGCGTTAATAGCGCGAAATATATGGCGCATTAAATGTCCCAAATTGGCCAAATAGCAATCTTTATTCCCTCATAACTTTACCAAAAAATTGATCACACGTGAAATATTTTTTCAAGTTTGAGCTCAGGACAACAATACCTTTCGAATGATATTTTAAAAATTCCGTCAAAAATGGCTAGTTAAAAAGTCGAAGCTTGTCTGAAGAAAAAACCCACCCCGAGCACAAATATTCCGTTACTTTCGTATCGAAAGTCGGAACAATAATCGTTTCTGAAAAACTCATACATCCTTGTGATTTCTAGAAATTTCAAATAAAAACAAAACTGCTCGTATCAGGGCAAAGCCCTGAGTGTTCCGAATGCTTTTTAGAGTTTATGGAGCAGTAATAACATAAAAAACCAAATGAAATAAAATAAATTTTTTTTAGCTGGAATTTTTTAAATGAAAAAAATCACCCCACACGCCATATAAAGTACAAAAGGATAATTTTCGTTCCTTGTAACAAATCAATCATGGCACATAAGCTTCCTTGAACCAATTTGGAACGATTTCTGAGACGGATTAAATCTCGTTTACGCGTTAATAGCTCGAAATATATCGCGCGTTAATTGTCCCAAATTGGCCAAAATGGCAATGTTTAAACCCCCATAACTTTACGAAAAATGATCACAGGTGAAATATCGTTTCAAATTTGAGCTCAGGACAACAATACCTTTAGAATGACAATAAAAAAAAATTCCGTCAAAAATGGCTAGTTAAAAAGTCGAAATTTGTCTGAAGAAAAAAAAACCCACCCCGATCACAAATATTCCGTTACTTTTGTAACGAAAGTCGGAACAAAAAGCGCAAAGATCAGAATATAGAACTTAAAGATATTATTAACAAGCTTAAAAAAACTTAGTTCAAGGTTGAAAAAGGACAACATAAATGTAAAGTTTTTTTTCCGACTTTCGATACGAAATTAACGGAATATTTGTGCTCGGGGTGGGTTTTTTTTCTTCAGACAAATTTCGACTTTTTAACGAACCACTTTTTTTAAAAAAAATTAAAAGAAATTGTTGTCTTGAGCTTAAATTTGAAAAGATATTTCACCTGTGATCATTTTTCGTAATGTTTTGAGGGTTTAAAGATTGCAATTTTGACCATTTTGACCAATTTGGGACAATTAACTCGAGATATAGTTCGCGCTATTAACGCGTAAGCGGAGATTTAATCCGTCTTATAAATTGTTCCAAATTGGTTGAACGAAGCTTATGTGCCATGATTGATTTGTTACAAGGAACGAAAATTATCCTTTTGTACTTTATATGGCGTGTGGGGGGATGATTTTCATTTAAAAAAATCCAGCTAAAAAAATTTATTTTATTTCATTTGGTTTTTTATGTTATTACTGCTCCATAAACTCTAAAAAGCATTCGGAACACTCAGGGCTTTGCCCTGATACGAGCAGTTTTGTTTTTATGTTTTTATTTGAAATTTCTAGAAATCAAAAGGGTGTATGAGTCTTTCAGAAACGATTATTGTTCCGACTTTCGATACGAAAGTAACGGAATATTTGTGCTCGGGGTGGGTTTTTTCTTCAGACAAGCTTCGACTTTTTAACTAGCCATTTTTGACGGAATTTTTAAAATATCATTCGAAAGGTATTGTTGTCCTGAGCTCAAACTTGAAAAAATATTTCACGTGTGATCATTTTTTTGGTAAAGTTATGAGGGAATAAAGATTGCTATTTGGCCAATTTGGGACAATTAATGCGCCATATATTTCGTGCTATTAACGCGTAACCGGAGACTTAATCCGTCTTAGAAATTGCTCCAAATTTGTTGAAAGAAGCTGATTTTCTTATTTGATTTGTTACAAGGAGCAAAATCTATCCTTATGAAATTTATATGGCGTGTGGGGGGATGACTTTCATAAAAAATTTCAAATTTTATAAAAAAAATGTTTATTTCATTCAATTT